TTTTAACTACAAAATATCAGACATATGAATCTATATCTACCAGTAACATATATGATAATGCAATTAATAATCTACTCTCTAAAAAAATTGGATTTATCAAAAATGTATTGTACTTTTTCTTTTCTCGGAATTTGGAGCTAAAGCTTAACTCCCACAAATCCCACAAAAATTCCCCTCTTCCCTCTCTTTCCGCCATGTTTTTCCTTCTTTTCACCTGCTGCTTTCTTCCCTTCATTTTTCTCCTCGAGTTTCTTCTTCTAGTCGGCCTTTTTTTTTTATCTCCATTGCCAACATAGGTGGGCTTAGCTTTCTCCTTTTTGTGTTGAATACCAAATAAAACAATTAAGTCCAAATCCAAGGAAATTTCAAGATTCATAGAGGAAGATAAGATGAGAAGAAGAATGCGGCAAACTCACCTCACCCATTCACTGAAACTTTTTTTTTTCTTGAATATTGAATTGAGCTAAGGCAGTTAGCAGAGAACAGAGAATTATATGAAGAAAGAAATCGGAGGCAGAGGGGGGAATTTATAGGAAAGGAGGGAAGGTCATGCCTTTATGATATGTGATGTCAATGATGGTATATGACGGGGAAGTGTATCCGTTACTCTACATTTCACAAGTATATCCGTTACAATGTTTATTCTTATTATTAATTAATTAAAATTAATTATGTGATAACTGATGAAAAGGAAGAATTTGAATTGGGCTAGGCATATATATATAATGTTTACCCTATTTAATGCATAGGGTAGCATTATATATATATAGATTTTTTTTTTTTTTGAAGCTAAAAGAGATCTATTCTAATCTCCCATCCTTCATTGGTTTTCTAATAACATAATAACTAATGTTCAAAATAATAATAATAATAATAACATAGTAACCGAACATGTAAAAACATAATTTTAGCTCTTTATTTTATTAAATTTATAGATTTTAATTCTCACCTTTTATTATAACACTTTTAACCATTTATTTATTAGAATTGAAAAAAAATAACCCTCACTTTATAATATTTCATTAGTTTTACTAATTGATTGTTAACTTTGTTAATTGACTATTAATTCTGTTAGCTGAAAATAGGTTTTTACTAGCTAACAATTAATTAATAATCAACTAATACAATTAACAATTAGTTAACAGAATAGTTTTGTTAATTGATTGTTAACTATATTAATTGAAAATAGGTTTTTATCAGTTAACAGTAAATTAATAATCAATTAATAAAATTAATAATTAGTTAACAGAACTAATAAAATATTTAAATGAGGTTATTTTATTTAATTTTAATAAATAATAAACTAAAAATATCATAATAAAAAAAATTAAAACTTATAAATTTATAAATTTAATAAGATAAAATATTAAAATTAGACTATTTGCCAACCGAACATGCCTTTAAGATTGTCCTCCTCTCCTGGACCTGGCACATGGCAGTCGTTGTCGATGCACAATTATGATTAATGGTTCCGACAATGTACGATGTCTACTTGTGCGTAAGGCTGGGCATTTTTTAACCGAATT